GCCAAGCCAGCTTCCTGAGCCGAGTGCAGGCCTGGGAGGAGCACTCCAGCACTGCACTGGCCTGCTGTGTTGCTTTGAAAGTAACGACTTTCCACGGGCCAGAAGGCAGGTAGCAGCCTTGGGCACTCAGATTGGGCCTCCTTAGCAAGTGCCTGTGGGGGGAGCCTCTCCTGGATTGCCTTCTGCCTCTGGGTAGCTTGGCCTCAACCAGGCTCCGACCTGAGGCTTGTATTGAACTGTGGCAGCTCAAGGTGGGGACTTCCCTTTCTCTGGTGTGAGGGGAAGATTTGGGAGCAAATGGATTCATCATCCAGAGGAAACGGGGGACTCCGGCCCTGCTGTTCCACAGTCTGTGGCAGATGTTGGGAGATTCTGCCTCTCCCTAGTCTCGTGTGAATAGGCCCTGTCCGGATGCAGTTGTTGGTGAATCTGAAGCTTGGTCGACAAAGGCAGCTGTGTAGGTGTCGACTTTTGTCAAGTGTTGGAACTAAACAGCTTCAGTGCAGAACATTCAATTCCATCTCCATCCAGAGCTTGTGCTGTGGTTACCAGTGGGGAGCCCTTGGGTGAGGGTGTTGAGCAGGGATTGTTTCTAGGTCTGCTGCTCTTCACCATCTTGGTCAAGGACTTGGCAGTAAGTATAAAATCATTGTAGATTAAACTTGTGGGTGGAGCAGTAAACGGGGAAAGGGCAGCCATGCAGCGAGCTGGATCTGTGCTTCTCCACTGTAGCTGTGAGTACCTTGGTGGTACGTGCAGGTCTTCCAGGGTACACCAGCTTAATGGGTGGGGATACGTTTTATGTTTGGTTTTTGGAAGCAAGTTTTGGGGAGGTGAAATTGGGGTACACAAGACAGATCAGACTCCTGAAAGGGGCGCAATAGTCTGAGAGGTTGAGCCACAGGCCTGGATTATTTGATAAAATAGGCCCATGCAAAGAAAATACTTCAATATACCAAGTGCAGGCACCAAGGACCAAAAGTGTGGGTCACCTAAAAAAAAATTGGGCATGTTGGAAAGCATTGACTGCAAAGGATTTAGGGGTCAGAATGAACAAGCTGCCAGCGTGATGCTGTGGCAGAGCTAATGCAGCCCTTGGGTGTCTAACCAGGAAGGAGTGAGTGGGAGTAAGGAGGTGGCTTTTGCCTCTGTCTGATTCTAGTGTGTGCCACTCTGGGGACACTTTTTTAGAGGATTTTGAAAAACTAGGAGTGCAGAGAAGAGGCCCAGATAATGCCAGGGCTGGACAAAACGCATTAGTGAAGCCAATCTGCTTCGCTTACCCAGGAAGAGGTCTGTGAATATCTCACTGGAGAGGAAATAGCAGGTGCCGAAAAACTCTCTAATCCAGCAGAGAGATGCAGAAGAATCAAAGGCCAGAAGGTGAAGCCAGACAAACGAAAATTAGCAAATTGTTTAACAATGCGGGTGATTAACTATTGGAAGGCTAACGGGGGAGGGATGAGTTCATCTCTGGTCTTCAAATCCAGACTGATGGATGCCTTTCTGAAAGATGCATTGGGCTTGATAGTGAGGTACCGCTGCCATGCGGTCCAGAGAGCAGACCTCTTCCCGCCGAATTCCAAGCTTATGGCTGGAAAGCCCAGTGGATCATAGGATCTGAAGAGGCTTTCTGTGGTGATGTGATGACAGCAGGTGTGGCTGCTCACAGGCTGGGTCAGCGCTGCTGGCTGTGGAATATCAAGTGCAGACTGGCTGTGGAAAATGTTCTTGTTCACCCCAAGGGTCCCTGCTTCCCATCCCAGCTTAGATCTGTGTAAGGCTAATACTGTATGCTGTGGCTGTTCTCGCCTAGCCTGGTGGTGTGAGCCAGATGGTTTCACACTGGGCTTCCTCACTTCCAAATGCGTCCCAAACACCCTGCCAGCACAAGTTATGTAACTCTACCTGTGCTAGAGGGAGCTGCTCCGTGGCTGCTTGATGCCTTCCTTGGGCTATCCAGAGCAGGCAGAAAATCCATTCTCTAGTGTGCTGCCTGGGAACCCAAACAGCCAGCCCAGAAGGCTAGCTCCTCAAACACACAGCTCTGCCCCCAGGAGGAGATTCTGGGCTTGTACCATGCTTGGGTTTCTAGACTCTGGGTTGATTTGCTGGCCACTTGAGCAGCCATATTTGGACCCCAAAGCTAGAGCATTCTCGTGTCTATTTTGATGGTCCAGCTAGGCCTGCTCCTCTCCTGTAGCAGACCCATTCCGGAGATGGCGAGAACATCCCAAAATGGAGCAGAACTGATCCTTTGGTCTCACCCTAAACAAGACTTGCATAAAAGATCTAATTGAACATTTCACTGCAGTCCCTCTAAAACGTCCCACAGGCCTCCTTCACCAAAAGCTGCTGCCAAAGGAGTCTGGAAAGAATGGACCCAGCTTGGTCTGCACTCCCCACCTGCCCTTGTCACAGCTTTCTGGAGTAGAATATGCTGCTGTTCTTCTCCATCAAGTGTGTAATAGAAACAGACTAGTGTGCTATCCCAGGGCATGTGGGGTCCGAGTTCTGGGAGGAGTTGGCTTAGGGTGATCTGTTCGGGGGTTGGAAATGGAATAATTGATCTTTGGCTATGAAATTTGGTAATTAGAAGGCTCACAGATGAAGATCTGAAGGGACCATTAGGATCTAACCTGACTGGTGAATACCACAGACCAGAGGATCTCACCCAGTATCTGCATGGAGCCCAAAGCTTGCATGAGCTTTAGCATATCATTCACAAAATAAAATACTGATTCTTAAGGCTTCAAATGAGTAAGAATCCTCTTCTAGCTGAGTTTTCCCAGTGGCTGCTTCCTTCACTGTTACATTGTGCGCTTTCTCACGTGAAATTGTCTAGCTTCAACCTCCAACCGTTGGATATCTGTTGTAGGTTTTGAACCTGTCTGTAGACCTTCCATTATATTAATTGTGTTGAGCAGAGTATTTTTTGTAGTATGCTAATGATGCGGTATATTGGAAATGGCTCCCTGGAATGGTGAACAGGGTTTTATTTCTTTCTGTTCTGATCTTTGTCTCCTACCACTTAGCATAAATAGATCCAAACTGATGAATGGGTGGCAGGCCGTGTAGGATGTTGGCGTGATGAAGGATTATGGGCATATCTGGACCAGAGCAGGCCAGCCATGCCACTGCAGTTGTGGTACGCTAGGCTGTCTACTACAGGACTGTACTGGCTGAAGGGTTTTCCACTGGTGTAGTTAACCCAGGTCACCAAGAGGCAGTAGCTGTGTTGACCTAGCTTGAGTCTATGCTGAGAGTTAGGATGATCTTAACTACACTACACAGGGAACCAGCATTTTCACAGACTGACTAATGTAGCGCGGCAGAAGGGTGGGGACTCGGCTGGATCCTTTTGCTGTTTGTTAGTAAAGGGTGATACTTCTGGGGTGTTATAGAATCCTAGGGCTGGAAGAGACCTCGAGAGGTCATCGAGTGCAGCCCCCTGCCCAAGGCAGGACCAACCCAACTAAATCAACCCAGCCAGGGCTTTGTCAAGCTGAGACTTAAAAACCTCTAGGGATGGAGATTCCACCCCCTCCCTGGGTAACCCATCCCAGCGCTTCCCCACTCTCCTAGTGAAATAGCTTTTCCTAATATCCAACCTAGACCTCCCCCAGTGTAACTTGAGACCATTGCTCCTTGGTCCGTCACTACTGAGAACAGCCTTTATCCATCCTCTTTGGAACCTCCCTTCAGGAAGTTGAAGGCTGCTACCAACCTTCCCCCTTCTCTTCTGCAGACTAAACAAACCCAAATCCCGCAGCTTCTCCTTGTAGGTCATGTGTTCCGGCCCCCTCATCATTTTGGTTGCCCTCCACTGGACCCTCTCCAATGTGTCCACATCCTTTCTGTAGTGGGGGGGACGGGACCAGAACCGTATGCAATACTCCAGATGTGGCCTCACCAGTGCCAGATAAAGGGGAATTATCACTTCTAGACCTATTGTCAATGCTCCCCCTAATGCACCCTAATCTGCCATTCACCTTCTTGGCTACAAGGGCGCACTGCTGACTTATATCCAGCTTCTCATCCACTGTAACCCCCAGGCCCTCTTCTGCAGAACTGCTACTTAGCCCGTCGGTCCCCAGCCTGTACCAATGCTTGGGATTCTTCTGTCCCAAAGGCAGGACTCTGCACTTGTCCTTGTTGAACCTCATTGGATTTCTTTTGGCCCAATCATCTAATTGGGCCAAGTGGGGCAGTGTTTGCAAGTGCGGAGCCCGCTCCAGGGAAGCTTTGGGCAGTTCTGGGCTTTCAGAGGCTTCACCCTTCGCTTTACGGCTATTCTGGTCTCCTTCCAAGGAGAGTCTCGCCATGGCGGCTATGGCCTGTGATGCTTGTGGGGGGTGGCTGGAGAGCCAAGTTAACACACAAGTTCATCCAAGAGCTGCTGCTTTCCCAAAGCCTTGTGTGGCTCAGGCCTTCAGCGAGGGCTGAGTGAGGAAGTCGGGGCAGGTGCCTTCCCCGCTCCCTGGGCCAGCCGGTGCTCATTTTGAACGTGCATTGAGTGGCAGGGGCTGCTGGGAGCAGACTCCCCCTCACTAGCCTTGCGTGCTGTAACAAAGTAGAATGCAGCCAGTCCCAGATCTGCTCTTCGGGGTCCTTCCTCATCGCGCTTCTCCAGGGCGAGCTGCTGGCCTGGCAGCTTAGCAAGCAGAAGGCAGAGTCTGAAATCTTCCCGCCCCCGGGCAGTTGGGCCTCCAAGGGTGGTAACCGAAGATCCTGCACCTGCTTGCTAAGCTCGCCAGGGTGTTTTTCAGAGGGCATGCGCTGCGGGGAAGCAGTGTGCTGGGAATGTCCTGGCCAGGCCATTCCCTAGGACAGCGAGCAAGGCCTCCCGCAGGCCTTCGGAGTGAGGCTGCAGTGAACTGACCTCTCCAAAAATGGGAGCTGCTGGCCCGCTATCTGGGCGGAGCCCTGCTGGGGGGGGGTAGGGGAGGGATGAGGTGTCGGGGGCGTGGGGAGCCCTGCAGGAGACCTCGGCAGTACAGGCTGCTGATTCTGTCCCCTGTTCCTTGCCAGGTGTAACTCTTGTGCGTGAAGATGGCAGAGCAGGAGCCGACCGCAGAGCAGCTGGCCCAGATTGCAGCAGAGAACGAGGAAGACGAACACTCTGTCAACTACAAACCCCCTGCCCAGAAAAGCATCCAGGAGATCCAGGAGCTGGACAAGGATGACGAGAGCCTGCGCAAATACAAGGAGGCACTGCTGGGCTCAGTCAGCATCGCTACAGGTGAGTCTGGTGCTGGCTCAGTGCCCACTGGTCTGGTACAGACACGGCTACAACCGCCAAGACCTCTTCTCTCCACCCCGCCCTGCCTCAGGCAGGTGTAAGACCCCTCCTCCCGGATCTCTCCTGCGTGCCGCTGAGAACCCAGCGCTAGCCCGAGGGGCGAGTGACCCGCTGGAGTACGCCTGACTGCTTCCTGGTTCTCTGCTGGTTCTTCCTGGGCTAGCCGTCAGTCACTGGCCCTGGGAATCAGGCTTCTGAGTGTGGGGTTGATGTGGTATAAAAGGGGGCCCTGGGTCTCTGCTCAGGCTGGCCCGTTCTTTCCGGTTCTTCCAGGAACAGAGTGAAAGGCGCGAAGGTGGGGTCAGCCCTAGGGCGGGGACTTCACTAGTGCATCTAGAACTTGTCTTACAGCCTCCTCTTCGCCCTAGATCCCTGTGCGCCCAATGTGGTGGTGACCAAACTGACGCTGGTCTGTGTGGCTGCCCCTGGCCCTCTGGAGCTGGACCTGACAGGTGAGCACGAGACGGGGACTGTGGTCTCCCTTCCAAGGGCACAGGCCTAGGCTAGCTCCGTGCAGCCAGGGCCCCTGGCCTGACCTGGATCCGATGACCTGCCCTGAATGTCTTTCCAAATTCAACCTGCAGGGGCCAGGCTCCTCTTGAATTTGGGGCTTCCAGCCGGGTGTCACAGCTGCTACCTCGCTGCTCCTCATGCCTGAACGGCAGCGCAGAGCCCGGCACGGCACCTGCTGGGGGCAGTCAGTCCTGGAAGCCCAGCTTAGAGCTGCCCAGCCGGGGGCGCCCAGAGCCGCTTGGCAAGCAGGGACTGCTTTCCTGTAGTTAGGAAACACACAGGTCCCCCCCTCCTCCCCCGACTCTGGTCAGGCCTCAGGGCACAGGCCTGAGCCTGCTACAGGAGGGATTCCAAACAGCTCCACAAACAAGTTGTGGCCTTCCCCTGCCCCCCGTCCCAAAACGAGCTGCCGGACGAAAGCTTCCCGGGGTCTGTTCCTTGGAGAATGTTGCACCAAGCTCCAGTGTCAGTAGCTTCCTGCTAGTGTTCAGGGTCCCACCTGGCTGTCTCCAGAGCACGGTTGCTAGGCCTCCATCGGAGGGTCACCTTCATCCTTGCTGGATCTGGGAAGAGACGCTTGGAGCTGATTCTCACGAGGAGAGTCCTTCTGAAACTCCCATTTCCTCTCGTGGGTGGATTCCTCGGGGTGCGCGTGGACTAAGGCAGCAACGGTTCCCGTGCGGGAGGTGTGTGTGTGTGTGTGTGAGCAGCTGCCATTCCTTCCTTGCTGGGTGGAGAGCGTCTGGGACACACTCCCGTGGTGCGCCTTATGCACCCCTCCGGAAAGGGAGCTCCGCCTGCCTGCAGCCTAGCATTGCTTATGTTCCAGTGGCTCAGCCCTGTGCAGGGCCCACCCCACAGGCAAACCGCAACCCGGTGCTGAGAGAGTCCAAGCATCTCCTCTTTGCAGGTGACCTGGAAAGCTACAGGAAGCAGTCGTTTGTGCTGAAGGAGGGGGTGGAGTACCGGATAAAAATCTCCTTCAGGGTAAGAACTTGAGTCGCTGACCTGCGCCTGTCTGCCCTGGCGTGCGGCCCTGGACACCCCGTGTGGGCGATCCCTTGGCCGCTCTGCTGAGGCCGTTCTTTGCTCTGCAGGTGAACAAGGAAATCGTGTCGGGGCTGAAGTACATCCAGCACACGTTCAGGAAAGGTGTGAAAAGTGAGTGCTTCCCTTGGCCGGGGTCTCCCAGCCAGGCCTGCTGCAGTGAGATGGGCCTGCGGGGACGCTGGAAGGCTGCTCCTGGGCATCTTGGGCCCGGCACTGGGGGTGGGGGACCTCTGGGCTGGGCTGCAGGGTGAGGCATTGTCAGCTGCTTTGGCTCTGAGCCTGTTGGCCTAGAGGGATGCGCAGCTTGGGGCTGAGCACACGGGGCGGCTGGGCTGGGTGGGAGGGGCTCGGAGCAGCAGCGAGGGGCTGCTGGAGGGCAGCCCGGCAGTTGGAGGGGCCAGAATCGCTCTGCGCTTCAGCCTCCTCACATGCTCGCTCCCGCCCCTGTCTCCTGCAGTTGACAAGACTGACTACATGGTGGGGAGCTACGGGCCCCGGGCAGAGGAGTACGAGTTCCTGACCCCCGTGGAGGAAGCCCCCAAGGGGATGCTGGCCCGGGGCAGCTACAACATCAAATCCAAATTCACAGATGACGATAAGACTGACCATCTGTCCTGGGAGTGGAACCTGACCATCAAGAAGGAGTGGAAGGACTAGCCCTCCCCGAGCCGGCCCCAGAGAGAGAGTTAGCCAGGCAGTGGCTACAGTAGAATCCCACCCTGTACCAAAGTGCTGACGTTGGCCCCTCCCTCCCTCCCTTCCCACCCTGTCATCCAGCAGAAGAGCTCTCCACTCAGTAACCCCCCTGAGAATCACTGACTGGAGCTGACCAAGCCAGCTGTCTGCATCCGCCCTCGGGCGTCCTGGTCACCCCCCGAAGTGGGCTGCCCCATTGCTGCATCTGACCTTTGTTGGAACAAAGCACAGGCAGGCGCTGGGGGGGGGCTTCCCGGGCCGTCCCGTCCCTACACAGAGGGGCTTTGCCTAGTGCTCCTGCTCCTGGGCTGGGAGTAGCTGGTGCCTCCTTTCAGGTGGCTGAGGAATTGTGATTCCAGGCAACCGCTGATCCCGTCTTTAGGCTAAAATCATGTCTGTGGCCTGCCCCCTCCCTTCCTCCCTCCCTCCAGCCAGTGGCTCGCTCGCCAGCTGGCAGCTTCATTTGTGGCTGTTCCCATAGCCATGATGCCTTAACGTGTGTAAGGGGCATTCTGTAGGGAGGGCCCCACGGGTCTGTCGGCAGGCCGCCTCCTCGGGCCCTCCCTGTGGGTTGGTTTGTTAGGAGCGAGTCGCAACCTCTGACTTGGCTGCTGCCCTGAGAGGAGGAGGCTCGGGGGACCCCCTGCTGCTCCTGCCCACCCCAAGCATCCTTGGATGCCCAGAGACAGCTGGACTGGCAGAGCTCTCCCACTTCTGCTCTGCAGGTGCTGGCCCTGCTAGTGTAGATCTCCGGGCAGCCCTGTCCCCTCCTGTGCCTGCAGCTGGGGCTGGGAGTCACCAGTGCCGCTGTCCCCTCGGAGCCGGTTTTGGCTGTAAAGCACTGAAATGCCAGGGCAGCTCCTGCCACTTCCCTTGGGTTGGTTTTGGGCTGCAGGGTGAACTGGTCCAGTTCTGCAGCTGCTTTCACAACCTGGCCAGACCAGAGCCAGCGGTGGATGGGTGTCCAGAGCGGTTATTGCCTTATGTATCGGTTCTGCCTTTGAAATCGTGCCTGGCCTGTCAGTATTTATTGCCTTGACAAGTAGACTCCGAGCCCCTAGAGCAGTCTCTCTACCCTCTGTTCTCGCAGCACTGCAGCCGGGCGCCCCCAGCACCCTCCGAGCCCTCTGGCTACTAGACAAGCATGTGCCAGCTTGCAGCCCTCCTCTCTGGCTGCTCACTAATGCTGAGGTGGTACCAGAACTGGGACCAAGTGTGTGTGGTTTTCCTGTAGCTACGTCTCTTGCCCCAACTCTTCCTCTCCCCCTGCCGTTTAGAAAGATGATTTTTGTTAACTTGATTTGGTGCATTTTGTCTGTAAATCTTAGACCCAGATTAACAGATTTGGAATCGTCATCTGCTTCCCCTTTTATGACAGTTCAATAAAATCCTCCCCCTGACCGTGTGCTGTCCGAGTCCCTCGTCCTGTTGCAGGAGGGAAGTGGCCTGTGACGCTGCCTGTGGCACAGGGCAGGCCTGGGCCCTCAGTCCCTACGTCCTTGCATGCCAGCAGGTGCGGGGGAAGTGCGGCCCTCCCTCCGCTGCTGCAAAGGCTTGTATGGAAAACTATCCCTTCCAGTCAGCGCGCTCCTGTCCCGAGGCCTCTGCTAGGGGCGGTGGTGGGAGCGGGCACGGTGCGTTTACACAGGGCTCTGCTCGGGGCTTTCCGGCCTCCGAGAGGAGGAACCCTGAGCCCCCTGTAGCGGAGACCCGGCTGCTAGGGGCGGCGGGGGGAGCGGGCACGGTGCGTTTACACAGGGCTCTGCTCGGGGCTTTCCGGCCTCCGAGAGGAGGAACCCTGAGCCCCCTGTAGCGGAGACCCGGCTGCTAGGGGCGGCGGGGGGAGCGGGCACGGTGCGTTTACACAGGGCTCTGCTCGGGGCTTTCCGGCCTCCGAGAGGAGGAACCCTGAGCCCCCTGTAGCGGAGACCCGGCTGCTAGGGGCGGCGGGGGGAGCGGGCACGGTGCGTTTACACAGGGCTCTGCTCGGGGCTTTCCGGCCTCCGAGAGGAGGAACCCTGAGCCCCCTGTAGCGGAGACCCGGCTGCTAGGGGCGGCGGGGGGAGCGGGCACGGTGCGTTTACACAGGGCTCTGCTCGGGGCTTTCCGGCAACCGAGAGGAGGAACCCTGAGCCCACAGTAGCGGAGACCCGGCTGCTAGGGGCGGCGGGGGGAGCGGGCACGGTGCGTTTACACAGGGCTCTGCTCGGGGCTTTCCGGCCTCCGAGAGGAGGAACCCTGAGCCCCCTGTAGCGGAGACCCGGCTGCTAGGGGCGGCGGGGGGAGCGGGCACGGTGCGTTTACACAGGGCTCTGCTCGGGGCTTTCCGGCCTCCGAGAGGAGGAACCCTGAGCCCCCTGTAGCGGAGACCCGGCTGCTAGGGGCGGCGGGGGGAGCGGGCACGGTGCGTTTACACAGGGCTCTGCTCGGGGCTTTCCGGCCTCCGAGAGGAGGAACCCTGAGCCCCCTGTAGCGGAGACCCGGCTGCTAGGGGCGGCGGGGGGAGCGGGCACGGTGCGTTTACACAGGGCTCTGCTCGGGGCTTTCCGGCCTCCGAGAGGAGGAACCCTGAGCCCCCTGTAGCGGAGACCCGGCTGCTAGGGGCGGCGGGGGGAGCGGGCACGGTGCGTTTACACAGGGCTCTGCTCGGGGCTTTCCGGCCTCCGAGAGGAGGAACCCTGAGCCCCCTGTAGCGGAGACCCGGCTGCTAGGGGCGGCGGGGGGAGCGGGCACGGTGCGTTTACACAGGGCTCTGCTCGGGGCTTTCCGGCCTCCGAGAGGAGGAACCCTGAGCCCCCTGTAGCGGAGACCCGGCTGCTAGGGGCGGCGGGGGGAGCGGGCACGGTGCGTTTACACAGGGCTCTGCTCGGGGCTTTCCGGCCTCCGAGAGGAGGAACCCTGAGCCCCCTGTAGCGGAGACCCGGCTGCGAGTGCAGCATAGAACAGTGCTGAAGGGGCTAGCGGGAGGCCTCCTGAGGGCTGGCGCTGGGGGCAAACAGCCTAGTGCCCAGCCCCTGGATGCTGGCTGGGGTCTGTGGAGCAGCCGTCTCTTCCGCGCCTTGTGACTAAGGTGAGCAGATGGTGATGAGAAGGTGCCGGGGGAGGATTGGCCTGTGACAGCGCAGCCCCTTTCTGCCCTATGTTTTCCCAGCTGTTGTGCTGTGCTAAGTGGCAGTGCTGAGCACCCTGGGCGTTCGGCCTGACCTTCCTGTGGGGAGCTGGGAGGCAGGGCGGTTCCTCCGCTCTGGCCTCGCTGGACCGACAGAACTGCAGTTGGGCTGGCAAGGGGGCTGGTCCCAGGGCAGTAAACACGCCCACAGCTGGCCCTTGCAGAACAAACTGCCTGATGCGGTGGCCACAGCCGCCTGCGAGCGTCTGTCCTAAGGGGACTCGTGCGTCTGCTACGCTCTCTGGGGCAGGGCAGGCCTGCTGGAACACGGGCTGATGGTGCCCATCCATCGTCACAAGAGAACTTTGTTCTACGTGCGTCCTTGTCTCCCCTCCCCAGCGCTGCCTGAGTGTGTTGTGGGTGCGCGCTGGGCACGTGTGGCAGGGGCTGTGTTGTGGTGTGGGGGCGCCCGGGGCGCTGGGCACGTGTGGCAGGGGCTGTGTTGTGGTGTGGGGGCGCCCGGGGCGCTGGGCACGTGTGGCAGGGGCTGTGTTGTGGTGTGGGGGCGCCCGGGGCGCTGGGCACGTGTGGCAGGGGCTGTGTTGTGGTGTGGGGGCGCCCGGGGCGCTGGGCACGTGTGGCAGGGGCTGTGTTGTGGTGTGGGGGCGCCCGGGGCGCTGGGCACGTGTGGCAGGGGCTGTGTTGTGGTGTGGGGGCGCCCGGGGCGCTGGGCACGTGTGGCAGGGGCTGTGTTGTGGTGTGGGGGCGCCCGGGGCGCTGGGCACGTGTGGCAGGGGCTGTGTTGTGGTGTGGGGGCGCCCGGGGCGCTGGGCACGTGTGGCAGGGGCTGTGTTGTGGTGTGGGGGCGCCCGGGGCGCTGGGCACGTGTGGCAGGGGCTGTGTTCACCCAAATAGCTGTGCGTGTGGTGCCTCCAGCCCTTTCTTGCTTCCTGGGCTTGGTGCAGCTGGGTCTGGCTGGTCTCTGGGCATAATGGGGTTGCTCTTGGTAGCTGCTGCCCCCTGGAGAGTAAGAGGGGACCCATCTGGGATACTCCCTCTGCCCTTCCTGCCCCAGGAGCCTCCCGGAGCTGGGCCCAGGACCTGCTTAACCCTCCTCTGGCCTAGCTGTCCTGCTGCTCTCTAGGCAGCCACAGGGTGGAGCTCGAGAGCCGGGCTCGTACCCTGCTCTGGCCTGAGGTTTCCTCTGACCCTTGGAGCAGAGTAAGTGAGTCCCTCCGTGGCTGCGGGGGCTGGTGGGAGCTATTCCTGCCCCAGGAGCCTCCCGGAGCTGGGCCCAGGACCTGCTTAACCCTCCTCTGGCCTAGCTGTCCTGCTGCTCTCTAGGCAGCCACAGGGTGGAGCTCGAGAGCCGGGCTCGTACCCTGCTCTGGCCTGAGGTTTCCTCTGACCCTTGGAGCAGAGTAAGTGAGTCCCTCCGTGGCTGCGGGGGCTGGTGGGAGCTATTCCCTCGGATATAGAATCATAGGACTGGAAGGGACCTCGAGAGGTCATCGAGTCCAGCCCCCCGCCCTCAAGGCAGGATCAAGCTCTGTCTACACCATCCCTGACAGATGTCTATCTAACCTGTTCTTAAATATCTCCAGAGAGGGAGATTCCACCACCTCCCTTGGCAATTTATTCCAATATTTGACCACCCTGACAGTTAGGAATTTTTTCCTAATGTCCAATCTAAACCTCCCCTGCTGCACTTTAAGCCCATTACTCCTTGTCCTGTCCTCAGAAACCAAGAGGAACAAATTTTCTCCTTCCTCCTTGTGACACCCTTTTAGATATTTGAAAACCGCTATCATGTCCCCCCTTAATCTTCTTTTTTCCAAACTAAACAAGCCCAGTTCATGAAGCCTGGCTTCATAGGTCATGTTCTCTAGACCTTTAATCATTCTTGTTGCTCTTCTCTGTACCCTTTCCAATTTCTCCACATCTTTCTTGAAATGTGGCGCCCAGAACTGGACACAGTACTCCAGCTGAGGCCTAACTAGTGCAGAGTAGAGCGGCAGAATGACTTCACGAGTTTTGCTTACAACACACCTGTTGATACAACCTAGAATCATATTTGCTTTTTTTGCAACAGCATCACACTGTTGATTCATATTCAACTTGTGGTCCACTATGACCCCTAGATCCCTTTCCGCTATGCTCCTTCTTAGATAGTCGCTTCCCATCTTGTATGTATGGAACTGATTGTTCCTTCCTAAGTGGAGCACTTTGCATTTCTCTTTATTAAACCTCATCCTGTTTACCTCTGACCATTTCTCTAACTTGCTAAGGTCGTTTTGAATTATGTCCCTATCCTCCAAAGAAGTTGCAATCCCACCCAGTTTGGTATCATCTGCAAACTTAATAAGCGTACTCTCTATCCCAATATCTACATCATTGATGAAGATATTGAACAGTACGGGTCCCAAAACAGACCCTTGAGGAACTCCACTTGTTATCCCTTTCCAGCAGGATTTAGAACCGTTAACAACAACTCTCTGACTACGGTTATCCAGCCAATTATGCACCCACCTTATGGTTCGTCTCCAGCAGCAGCTGCTCCCATAAGACATAACCTCAACCCGCGTGCTCAGGGAGACCAAGGGCAGCCCCTGCTGCCAGCTGGCCGGGAGGTGCACTTGGGGGGAGCCAGCTCCTGGGAGCAGGGAGGTCTCCGGTGCTGAGTTGTTTGGGGGGATGACAGGGTGCTGGCAGCACTTGGAATTCTTGCCTTCCACTCCAGCTCTGCCACTGACGTCACCTGCGGTAGGTGCCCTCTGCCTTGAATATCACAACCACGCTGGGTCCAGCCAAAGGTCCTTTTCCCATGCGCAGAATGAATTCTGTTGGTGTGCTGATGGGGTGGGGCCAAGGGGTCCACAGTGGAAGGGGGGCTCAGGAGTGGTAGTGAGGGGTTTGTGGTGCCAGACTGCCCTGGGACTGTGATGGGGACAGAAATCGTGCCGCTCCATTGGCCAGCCAGGTGTTTCAGAGGGTATGAAGAGAACAAGTGACCCCTCCCCTGTCGCCCATTCCCAGCCCTGCCCAGCCTGGCTAGCAGCCATCCACGGACCCAACCTCCAGGACTTTATCTAGGTTTTCTTTAACCCATTATACGTCCTCTGGCAGACTTATGTAGCAGCACTATACTTCAGTTGTCTTATCTAACCCTTTCCTCAAAGTTCCCATCATTCTGGCAGAGGTGCTTAATGACTTCTGAGACCAAAAAGTCTGATGAAGGAATGCCTAAGATAGTGAATGCTAGTGGGAATGGGGTAGGTTTAGAAGATAAAAT